GTGAGTTGTCCTTTAAATGGTGACTGGTTAAGTTTTAGGCGTCTGAGTAAGATGGTTGAGGTTAGGGTTTAGGCTGGGTTGGGGTTATTTTATGGGAATGGCTGGTTAAGTTTAGGCATGAATAGGTAGTTTGTTGTATTTACTTCCGCTTCCGTCCCGATTCCGTATATGATCTAGTGCTGACCTAAATAGAATGGGCGATGCGTGAAAACGCAGCTACAGGAGCTTTTCGTGGTTAGTATCACTCTTATTTTGAGTGAAAACTATTTTCAATGTAGCGTACGCTTTGTAGAGTTTGAATGAGACCATTTGTTTCAACAATGAGGAGTTATAGAGACGACAGTGGAGCCCGTCACTCTTGTATCAACAGAACCACGTCTGAGATGATAGTTCTGATCAATAATTCAATAAATAGGGCACAAATTTTACTTTTCACAACATTTGAGGCGAGAAATATGACCATTTATTGTCATTTCGGTGAATAGTTATGCTCCGGGGGGGCTCCGTGGCATTAAGCTAACAGCAGTAAGCTAACGGCGGGGAGCTGCAACCAACGCAGCCGTCCTGTGGGCACGGAGCTCGGATACACCTTCAGACATTACCCTGGTCCTCACAGTCCTAGACCCTGGTCCTCACAGTCCTAGACCCTGGTCCTCACAGTCCTAGACCCTGGTCCTCACAGTCGTGGGAATAACGATGAACAATGACTCTTGTAACACAATGGCTAGAATATATGTGAGAAGACTGATTGTAAAGCCTACTATTAGCTTTGTTACACATGTACATGTTGGTTTGAGACAACTTTTAGCATTAAAACAGGTATTTAACAGTTCTTTCTCTCTGTTCCCTCGGTTACTACAACCGTATACCACACAAAAATACTGCATTGTATCAATGAAAGTCAGTAAAGACTGTGGACTGTCAGCTGTGTATGCGCCCGCAGATGCTACGCATGCTAATGCTAATGCTGGCGCATTTCTCCTGTTCCTTATTAGGCATTTTCCTAAAAATCAAAAGCTGTTGGTGAAATAAATTTTAGCAAAATAGTGCAAAATAGAGTTCCCCACTTGACATGAGCATTTGCCACAAATGTACAAGCCACAGAAAAAGAGCATTTTAACTCGGAATCAGTGAATTTTTACATTGTTCCTAATGGGGAGATTTACTTCCTGTCCCTCGGAGCACTCTCGCGCTGCTGCATGACGTCAGGTGCAACCAGTGGGGGCGGGTCCCAGCTCAAAAGTGGCCAAAATGACGTGCGCTGACATGCTTGCAATACCACCCCGGGCCGTTGGGGGTGGACCATTGACTGTATATATTAATGGACAGAGTCACGCCTATCTCCGCCGTTCTAACTAATGGGCCAAAAAATGTGCTCTACTGGAGCAATCCAAAATGGCCGCGAGTGGTCCCGCCCACAAGAAAAATGTGAAAAAACGCATCTGCGCATGCGTAAGCCGGCGAGAGCTCCATTCATTTAAACGAGAGACTTAAAAAATTCAGTCCATTAAAAGTAAACTAGAGTGGACCAAAAAAATCCACCCCCCTCAGCATTGACACACATGTGGAACGGAGCTTTGGGCCAAGAGCCAACTTTTGAACCATCCTGTAAAGACGTTTTCAAGAGGTCAGCTAATGCTATATGTTAGCATTGGCTAATTCTACTTCTGGGTCCACCCCCATCGGCCCGGGGTGGTATTGCAAGCATGTTAGCGCACGTCATTTTGGCCACTTTTGAGCCGGGACCCTCCCCCACTGGGGTGGACCCAGAAGTAGAATTAGCCAGCATTAGTCAATGCTGAGGGGGGTGATTTTTTTTGGTCCACTCTAGTTTACTCGCGGGGAATTTTTGAAGTCTCTCATTAAAATGAATGGAGTTGCGCCGGCTGACGCATGCGCAGATGCGTTTTTTCACAATTTTCTTGTGGGCGGGACCACTCGCGGCCATCTTGGATTGCTCCATGAAAGCACTTTTCATGGCCAACTCCTATGAACGGCGGAGATAGGCGTGACTCTGTCCGTTATTATATACAGTCTATGGGTGCAACCCAGCAATAAGGTTAGAATTTAGGGTTCAGTTGTTTGGTTTAGGCGTCACCATAGCAACGCACAGCAACGAGCACAAACGGTTAGGTTCCCGTTAGCTTCCAGTTAGCTTCCCGTTAGCTTCTAGTTTGCTTTATAAAGTTAGTTTTAAAGATCTGTTAAAGAGCAGGATGTTGAATTACTTTAAGCTAAACAGTTGTTTAGTCGAATTTACGTTACATGTCGGTAAATGTTCCTTTTCCTCCTCTCTCTCTGTTCATGACTGTTGCTAGGAGCTAATGCCAGCTCTTGGCGAAAGAGTAAACATGTTTTTGAGTGTAGTGGAAAAACTATTTTTAAATAAATAATCAGTGTTTTAAAAAACCTCACTGTTCTTTGTTATTATTATAATTTGGTTTTAAATGCATTTCTGAGAAACAAAACCTTCCAAATCAAAATACCTGACAAAACAATCAAAACAGTACATTTAGCGGAACTATAAGAAAGCAAACTTTTTGAATACTAGTTTTTAAATGAATTCATTTGTACAAAAATCAAAGGTCACACTTTAGTTCAGCCGTCAGTAATTAACATAAGAAAGTGAGGTGTATTTTTTATGGTTAATTATCTCTCAATTAGTAATTAATAATAATAAATAACACTAACTGACTCTTTCCCATGAGGGTTAGCGAGCTAGGGCTAGGGTTAGCGTACACTAATTAGTACTTCATTAGCTGTTAATTAATCAGGGCTAATCTAGCTAACCAAAACAAAAAATAACACAATAAATTAAAAATACAATCATGAAGTTGTCTTTTCTTACATCAAGTGGCGCCATCTTGTGGACTGCAGCTGTGAATGTGTCAAAACGTCATTCCAAAACAAACCTCTAACCCTAAGACGCGAACGTACGCACGAAGAGGAATAGCGTGGCGGCGGTGGCGGTGACCGTATGGATCAACGGAGGGTTTTTGGAGGGGGGAGGCGGGAGGGGGGGTCACCTACTATAGACTCACTATTTACAACAACGTATAAAAATGTACAATGCCTTTTTCTTCTGTCAACCCCGGACCGGACATCAACGCCGCAGAAATGTGTGAGAGAATGTGTTGGTTTTGGAGAAATTGGGACGTTTTGCAGTACAATCCCGGGAATAACGTATCGGCTTTTGCTGTTGTATAAGGTTCACTATCCAAAGTTATGAAAACGCAGAAAACAACGTATTAAAAATTATGATTTGCTGAATACAGGGTTACAACTCTTAATGAATCGTAATTATTGACAAACTTTTTCCCTTTATCTCTTGAGATATTTCGGGGAATTTTGACATTTTTTAAAATCTACACTGAAGCCAATGCAAAGATTGCGAAAAAGCAAAAAAAGTTACTAATATTTGGGTCCATCCATTCATTTTCCTGTTCAGGTCTGGATCCTTTCTTGTCCTTGCTCCTATATCGGGAAAACTCACCCTTAATTAGTCAGAACCAGGCCCTGTTTATACATTTTCATTACTGCAGACTCGTTTGTTGTCATTAAAATCCTGTGTCAACTCGACATAACGGTGGGAAAGGTTGGCGTGTTGTTTGGACCCGGGTCATGGGTCTTCCCGAGCGACTCCCCTCAGTGGTAATCAATGAATAGTTTCAGCATTGTGAATGAACACTAATAAACTATTTTTTTCCTCTTTCAATCAGTGAAAAACTTTGAAAAAACCGTAGATATTTGCTGTAAGGAGCGCTGGTGCACACTGGGGGATTCTTGCACAGTTTTTCCAATGTGGTTTTACTGCAAATGGCAAAAACGTTCTTGAATCTTGAATGTAAGCCTGGGATCGCTCATGAGACATGGAAGAGCATTCTAATGTTGTATGTATGAAGTGAAACACCAGTACATGAACAGTAATGGTTTGCTACTGTCTGAAAAATGTGAATGCGACACTGGGAAGTGAACCGTAAGACGTTTTTTTTCAAAATGGGAGTCGCATGGACCGATCAAAGTGCGTTTGACTGTGCTGTACCATCCGCCTCTTTCTCATCGTACCAGACCCGGACCCATCCTCCTGCAGGTGCTGGGTCCACAGGAGGACCATGGTCTTCAGACAGAATGGGGTTAGGTGCCTTGCACAATAACACAACGCTAACAGATGTCAAAGGGGGCAGATGAAGTAGGTCTTGCGAGGGATCAAATCCACAACCACCAATGCTCTACCAACTTAGCCACATTGTTTGTGGAAGTCAAGGTAAGGTAAATGTTTCTATTTCAGTTTTAATTTACTATTCATAAGTATTAATACACTGCAAAAATATATGCTAATGAATGCTAATATATGGTAATGATTGTTTAAATCAAGTGGGTTTATCTTAATCTGAGCACATTCTGACTGAATTTAAACCAGATTTGCCAATGGTACGAAGCTATTTCATCTTTTTTCTAAAACAGTTGCATATTTATCATTTCAAGGGGTTTTCGTGTGTCTTGTTTTGCTTTGTCCCTTTGGCAAATCTTGTTTTAAGGCCCAGTCAGAGTGTTCTCAAAGTAAGATACATTTAGCCAAATGTTAGCAATTTTTAACTTATTCTTTATCACTTTTTGCAGTGTAGATTCCAGACAGCTAAATCCAGACAGACAAGTAAATGACACAGTCTTGCCTTGTGTGATGTCATTGTCTATTTTTCTGTACTTCTCTCAATACTTGTTTTTTCTTGCAAATTCATCGTTTGTTTGATACTTTTGTCAGGCGATCGTACAGACTCGTCATACGCACTTTGACACTTATTTCCGACCAATTCTTTGCATGAGATCTGTTTGAAAATATTGCAGATTGGTCTTTACAGAACGTCTCAGTCCAGAACATGTGAAACCTCTCCCTCTGAGCTCTGCGTCTCAAAGTTTCTCCGAGTTGCCGTTTGTGGTTTTTTGAGGTTGTTTTTTTCCCGATGACCAGAAGAGTTCTTTTTTTTCAGAGGTTTCTCGCCTTAGAACGAGTGAGTGGTTTTGTCCCAGTGTGTGGTTTTGTTTGGGGCCGTGGGAAGCTGTACGTCCGCCTCCTCCTCGCTGTCGTCTGATTCGCCGCTAGTGATGTTGTCGTCTTCCTCTTCTTCTTCGTCTTCGTCCTCCTCTTCCTCCTCCTCCGCCACGTCCTCTGCTGCCCCCTGTGGCGCCTCCAAGCTCTGGAAAAAAAAAAAAGTAACACATTTCACGCATTGAGAATGTTTGGTCTGGATTGCTATATTTAATAGTGTGTTCCAGTTCCTGCCAATATCCAGCAATCATGGAAGAGTGGGCCACAATTCCACAGGCCACAATTCGTGGTCAGCTTAAGGCACGTGTGAGGTGGGGTGGATTGTCTCAGCAAAGAATAAGTTTTGCACTGATTTATAAAGCAATCAATCAATATGTATTTGTAGAGAATATTTAATAAGTGCTGCACAAAGAGTGAAAGACAGCTACAATTGAAACACATAAAAATACAAAACAAATTAGAACTTGTCTCGAAAGGTTAGCAAGGAGTAGAAGATTTAGACAGATTTGAAAAATAAGTTCTGCATTTACATCTCCCCCTCTCTCTCTCCCCCTCTGTCTCTCTCTCTTTCTTCCCTACTTATCTTTCTCTCTCCCTAACCCCCTCTCTCCCCTCCATGGGGTTCTCTCTCACCCTCCCCCCTCTCTCTCTCAACTCCTCTCCCTCCCTCTGACCTCTCTCTCCCCCCCTCCCTCCCCCTTCCTCTCTCTCACCTCTCGCTCCTCCCCTCTCTCCCTTTCTCACCTCTCTCTCCTCCCCTCTCCCATTTTCTTACCTCTCCCCCTCCCCCTCTCCCTCACTCCCCCTCCCTCTCTCTCACCTCCATGGGGTTCACAGTGATGTTGAGGGCGCCGCTGTCCCACGTCACGTCTCCGTTGCTCTCGTTGAGCCGGACGTCCTGTTGGTGCGTGATGTGGATACGGTAGATGCCGATCACCACCACCACCACCAGGGCGGCGATACACGTCACGATGAGCACGGTGGCTGCACTGGGGACTGCTGCGGACACAAAACGGAGAGGGTTGAGGCCAAAGGAACGCCCGGAATCACAACAGTAGTTTTGATTCGCCAACAGCAGATCAGAGAATCAAACAGGTCAAAGACAGGGGACGACAGGACAGGACACAAGAAGGTCCTGGGTTCGAATCCCGGTTGGAACAGGGCCTTTGAGTGGAGTTTGCATGTTCTGCTAAATTAATAACCACTTGGAAAGCTCCAGAGAGATTAGGGATAAATGTGTTTTGATTCGTGATGAAAACGAGGCACAATGTCTAAAAAAACACTTGAATGAACAAACTTAAAGATACACTTTGGTCCGGGTTATTATTTCTGAATTGAAGGAATGAAAATTAGTGTTTTTGTGTGAAAACAAAAAAAACAAGGTGCCGTTATCTACAGGTGCAGGACAGAAGAAGTCAGAGTCCTCTTGAACAAGTGATGTCAGTGACCTTGGATGAACGGTTTAAGACAGGGGTGTCCAAACCTTTTAGTTTTAGTCATTAGACTTGACCTGGGACCGGCAACCTAGATTTATAAAACTGTATTGACTGGAATCTTAAAGGGGTTTGATACGTCCTTATTGATTCACAGCTGCATTTTATGTGGAATGTTGTGACACAATCATTAAACAAATGTCAGTAAATAACAATAAAGATAACGGCTGGATTCCAGAGGGTCTGAGGTTTACAATAAGGTATAGCATGACTGTGTTGGTGAAGCTGAAGTTGGCTGGATGACGCTGTCAAAGTGCCTTAATAGCGACTTTGTGTTAGCAGCAGAGGGCCGCAATTGGTCCTTGGGCCTGAGTTTGGACCTGCCTGGTCTAAGATGCACAGGAGAGGTCTCTGGGACTTCTTTCGGAGCAGACGGAGAGAGACGTCTCTGAGGTCGCTCCTTCAATGAGACTGAGGCTGGTTCGTCGACCGTTTGATTTGTATTATCACAAACTCTTCAATATATCTTATATATATATATTTATATCTAAATCAGGTTTGGTTCATTTATATTACTATTTTTTAACACTGCTGCGGCCTCCCCCCCCCCTCTCCTCTCTCTCTCTCTCTCCCCCCTCCCTCTCCTCTCCTCTCTCTCTCCCCTCGTCTCTCTCTCTGTCCTCTCTCCCTCTCCTCCTCTCTCTCTCTCCCCCTGCCTCTCTTTCTCTCTACCTCCCTCTTTCTCCCTCCCTCTCTCTCCTCCTGTCTCTCTTTCTCTCTCCCTCCCCCCTCTCTCTCCCCCTCTTCCCTCCCCCCTCCCTGTCTCTCTCTCTCCTCCTCTCTATCCCCCAGCGCAGGGGACCATCTAACAGATTTACAGCACTTCAGATTCTAATTTTGAGGATGTTTCTTCTACTTTAATCACTTTTGACCCGAGAGCAGCTTAGGGTCAGGGTTGGGGTTGTATTCTGTGCCACATAAACAAACCTGACCCAAAAGAAGCGTCAGTCCAACTTTCTTTTTAACAAGAAAAGTCTTCACCCACTACATTAATCTACTCCAGTCGGAGCCAAATCACCGCTTCTCAAACCTTAAAACGCTCGCACACTTTGATTCAGGGCCGTCGCTGCTGTTCTGCGATCGCTTCAGCTCGTGTCCAAGATAAAAGACTCGTTCACTTCAAAATTCACTGAAAACTGCGTTGAAAAAACCTCCAGCAAACCTTAAAATAACAGCGTTTTAATTGCCGCCATGTCTCATGAAATGCATTTAGTAATCTCCGCTGCGCTCCGAGCCAGATCTACTGATGTAAAATGTTGGGTTTGTGTGTGTGCGTCTGTGTGTGTCTGTGTGTGCATGTGTGTGTGCATATGTGCATGTGTGTCTGTGTGTGTGTGTGTGTGTGTGTGTGTGTGTGTGTGTGTGTCTGTGTGCTTCTGTGTGTGTACATATGTGTCTGTCTGCGCGTGTGTGTGCGCGTCTGTGTGTGCGTCTGCATGTGTATGTGTGCGTCTGTGTGTGTCCCTGTAGGTCTTTGGTGCTTGTTTAACGATGGAAAATCTTCCCAAGGGTCTAATTCCGCGGCGTTTCCCTGGATCTAAAAACTTGGATCTGATGTAAGCTAGCTCTCGCCCAAACTGTTAGCTCATGTTGACATCACATCACTCGGATTCTTTCCATAAATAATTGCAGCGAAGACAGACGGAGCGAGTCAGACGCAGAGATTACACTGTTTTAAAAATGAGAGCGGCTGAAGAGAAAGTGTGGGAATGTGATTTGTGCTGAACAGATTTTGTGAAATGTTATGAAGGAGGAAGTTCACGTTTCACAGACGGAAACTATCGGAAGACAGATTGGCATGAGGCAAGTTCATACATATTCTTAACGAGAAAAGAAAAAAGGGAATAAATCGGTGTGTGTTTAGAAATGTTTATTGACTAACAGCTAATTTCCACAGTAGGCGTTAACAGCGCGTACGCGTTGACTGTGTAACATTACTTGGTTGTATCTACACAGGCCGTGCGCAGGTCCACGGCTTCAGATGCTGTCCCTGTGTGTGTCTATGGAGCAGTGTAGAGGACAGTACAGAGGACTGATGTAGAGCAACACAAATCACAAGCATGTGTTTGTCCTCATGGTCTCTGTGCGCTGGTTTGGCCAGACGCCAGACTTTATTATTGTTTAGATACAAGTGGTGTGTTTGTGTGTATGTGTAGATGCGATCTAAAGCCAAGGGCCGATAGAAAAATCATGTTTACATGTGTTTTGACTGGAGACGCGTTGCTGCGCGCACAAAATTAGAAATCCATCCTAAATTAGGCACAGCCTTGCGTCATACGTCCGTCATACGCGCGTATAACACTAGTAGTGTAAATATCACCATTGGTTACATGGAAAAAAATTTACGCGCGTTTGCTGCGCGTATAACGCGTACGTGCTGTAACGCCTCCTGTGGAAATTAGCAGTAAGACTCCACAGCACAGCCCGGTGTCTCCTGGAGGTTCTTTTTGCATAATTTTACATTTTAATATTTGACTTTCCAGTTTTTTTCTGGAGAACTCTGAGGAGCACAGGGACTGGCCTCATGCTGGGACTCTGAGGAGCACAGGGACTGGCCTCATGCTGGGACTCTGAGGAGCACAGGGACTGGCCTCATGCTGGTCCCAGAGTCAGGACAAAACATGGAGAGGCAGCATTTCAGATTTATGCAGCTAAAATCTAGAGCTGTCTTCCTAAAAATGTGAGATGGGCCTCTTTTCTGACAATGTTCAAATCCAGATTAAAACAGTTCTGTTAAATTGTGCTAACACTAAGATTTCATCTTCACTTATTTATTGTAATTATTTCTGCCTGGAAAGAGTTTTAATGTCTTTTCTTGTTTTTTTCTGGTCCTAAAGGTCTCCCATCCCAGCACTAACCTGGCCGTGCCCTGCTTAGCATCCAAGGTCAGATGGGGATCTGGCTTTCACCTGCAGCTATGGCCACACCACACATTCATCTCTATTTCCATTTCTCTCTCTCTCTCTCTGTACGTCTCTCTATACCTCTCTATCTGTCCGTCTTTCTCTCTCTCTCTCTCTAACTGATGTGTATAATTCTTCTCCTTCTTCTCTTCTCCTTCTTTTTCTTGGGTCTTGTCCGTCAGTTTGCGATGACCTCCTTTCTCAGTCTCTTCTGTGAAGCCGCAGCCTCCATCAGCGACACATGAATTATTCAAACTGCGGCGGAGGATTAGAAAACGACAGCGCCCTCACACCAGCGTCTCTGCACTTCAGGTCAGACGCACGGAACACTCCAGAGAAACAAACGCAAAGAGAGAGTGGATTCTGTCGCTCACAAGAGAGAGACTGCTGCGGGCGCCAGGCTCTGGTTTTATGAGTCGTTGATAGAACGTTTTTACTGAGTCAGGACTCAACACGGTCACGTTCAGCTTTGTCCGTCAGTTGTAATGAAATGAATGCCAATAAAACATATATTTCTATTGATCTTTCTGTCCCTCTTGTTTGTCTGTCTCTCTCTTTCTCAGTGTCTATCTCTCCATCTCTTAGTCTGTCTATCTCCCTCTCTCTATTTCGGTCTCTCTGTCTGTCTTTCTCTCAATCTCTCTCTCCCTCACTCTCTCTGTGTCTGTCTTTCACACTCTTGCTCTCTGTCTATCTCTCCCTGCCTGTCTCTCTCTCAATCTCTCACTCTCTATCTGTCTCTCTCTCAATCTCTCGCCCTTTATCTGTCTCTCTCTGTCTGTCTCTCTCTGTATCTAGCTTTTTAAATCCGTCTCTCTCTGCCTGTCTGTTGGCCCAAAGCTCCGTTCCACATGTGTGTCAATGCTGAGGGGAGTGTTTTGGACCACTCTAGTTTCAGTCGCTGTGGACTTTAGAAGTCACTCGTTTAAATGAATGGGGCTGGTGCAGCTGACGCATGAGCAGGTGCGTTTTTCACATTTTCCAGCCCTCGCGCCCATTTTGTATCACTCCACGAGAGCCACATTTTTGGCCCTTTAGTTAGAACGGCGTAGATAGGCGCGACTACGTCCGTTTGTATTTACAGTCTATGGTAGTGACTCACCAGAGCTGTGGGTGGGGCTCAGGTCGAGGGTGGTGCTTTGATGGTGCAGCAGCTGCAGGTACTGAGGAGGAGCCACCACGTGGTTCACACGCTCTGCTGCCTGTGCACTGTGCAGGACACTCACCTGGACACACACACACACACACACACACACACACACACACATCACTGTGAGTTATGGAAAAGTAAATACATTCAAGACTCAATCAGACACTACAAAAACACTGTTCACAAATTGTGTTGTTCTAGTCTCAGTTATACATGTTTTTGTGTGAATTTTGTGCTGTTTTATTTTGTTTTTTAATAATTTGTGCCTGTGAAGCACTTTAATTAATACATTTTATCATTAAATCAAACGAACCTACCCTGACTTACACAATCTTTCACAGTTGTCACGGTTTCACTGCAAGTTTTTCACATAGTCTCAAACCAAAATAGTTCCAACGCCTGCTTTTCCTTTCTGCAAACTCCAGCTGTGTCTGAGACTTCAGCAGATTTCGGGAAGATGAGGTATTGACTCAACCACCATAAATGTCCTTCTTTTCGTTTGCAAATGGTTCTGAGAAATGGGTGGAAGGTTTGTGTCTTGTTCGGGGAAAGCGTCTGTAATCGTGGCAGAAAATTGTTTTTTTTGGTCGAGAAGTGGAATAAAAACAGATTTAGTCTGAACAGCTGCGAACGGAAACAGACTTTGGAAACCCCTCTTTATGCAAATGAGCTTCAATTGTTTCCTGTATGTTTCATTGTCAAAAGCATTAACGCACAGAGCAGTCAAATTGACGGCGTTTAGTTTTGCAAACATCATTATTAAATTATATTTCCTTTTTGATTAAGTACTTCTACTTTTATCTCTCATCTTGTCCTGGTCTGGTCCTGGTCCAGTCCTGGTCTGGTCCTGGTCCAGTCCTGGTCTAGTCCTGGTCCAATCCTGGTCCAATCCTGGCCTGGATCTTGTCTGGTCCTGGTTTGGTCCTGGTCTGGTCCTGGTCTGAACCTTGTCTGTTCCTTATCTAGTCGTTGTCTGGTCCTGGTCTAGTCCTAGTCTAATCCTGGTTTAGTCCTAGTCTAATCCTGGTTTAGTCCTGGTCTAGTCCTGGTCTAGATCTGACCTGGTCCTGTCTAGCCCTGGTCTAGTCCTGGTCTGGTCCTAGTCTAATCCTGGTTTAGTCCTGGTCTAGTACTGGTCTAGTACTTGTCTAATCCTGGTCCAGTTCTTGTCTAATCATGGTCTGGTCCTGGTCTGGTCCTGATCTAGTTCTGGTCTGGTCCTAGTCTAATCCTTGTCTGGTCCTGGTCTAGTCCTGGTCTGGTTTTCCATCAGAGCAGAGCCAGTGCTAGTTACCATAGCAACACACCAAACTGTTTTTTGATGTATTTTAAGTTATTTCTACCAGTTTAACCACAAAAGTGAGTGAGAGTAAAAACCATTAACATTATTACAACATGTGTTAAAACGTGTTATCTATGATCCAAGAAGTTACGTACCCCAGCTTTAAACACAGACTTTATCCCCTGTTATCCATCACTATGGCACTTCTTTGGCAGCCAGAGATGTTGAGGCTTCATCCAAACTCCTTGACCTTTTTTATTGAAGTTTTATGAGAACGATTTGGTCAAGTGAAATTTAAGACCCTTTAAAGACTTTTAAATGCCACTTTGGTCTAAATTAATGCCACCGGAGTCTAACAGGAAGTGGAAGGACAAAGAGGAAGAGGACAGGAGGCATTTTGGATGAATACAGACCTCCAGGGGGAATTTGTTGCTTGTATGTTTTGTGTGTGTGTTTGTGTTTCTGTCTTGGCTCCCTCTAGCCTGCACTACCCACACTGACCTCCAGGGTGAACTCGTTGCTTGTGTGTGTGTGTGCGCGCGTGTGTGTGTGTGTTTCTTTCTCTGCTCCCTGTAGCCTGCAGTACCCACACTGACCTCCAGGGTGAACTTGTTGCTTGTGTGTGTGTGTGCGCGTGTGTGTGTGTGTGTGTGTGTGTTTCTTTCTCTGCTCCCTGTAGCCTGCAGTACCCACACTGACCTCCAGGGTGAACTTGTTGCTTGTGTGTGTGTGTGCGTGTTTCGTGTGTGTGTGTGTGTGTGTTTCTGTCTCTGCTCCCTGTAGCCTGCAGTACCCACACTGACCTCCAGGGCGAACTCGTTGCTGGTGTATCTTCCGTTGAGTTCGGAGCAGGTGAGTCTGAAGCGTCTCTCTGTGACGTGCGACGGCTGAAAGTTAAAATAACGCAGCTCTCGGATCACGGCCTCGTAGTTGGACATGGAGTCCACACCTGCCGGAGTCACAGAGGGCATTTACCAATAGGCACACCAGACAACATCATTCACACACTAGTGTGCCGCAGCACAGTTGAGAAAAACTGCACTAGTGTTTCGGTCTCTATAGAACAGACATGTCCAAACTCAGGCCCGTGGGCCAATCGTGGCCCGGAGAGGACTCACCGTAGACGCAGAGGACTCACCGTAGAAGGACAGGACTCACCGTAGACGGACAGGACTCACCGTAGAAGGACAGACCTCACCGTAGACGGACAGGACTCACCGTAGACGGAGATGCCGGAGCTGGAGTTGGTGGCGTCCAGGTGTTTCCCGGTGAGGACTCCTCGCTGCAGCTGCAGAGACTCCTGCTCCGCCCTGAGCTCCTCCCCCAGAACCAGGACGTCACAGTAATCCAGGTTATGGATGATCTCCATCACACCGGGCCGACGCACTACACACACAGAGATACACACACAGAGACACACAAAGACACACACACATTTACATTAGACTCACTGTCACCACTCACTTTGCTCAAAAACAAATATGTTTACAGAGTTTTGTAAACAAATATAACTGCATTTCTGGAAGATTGTGTGTGCCCTCTCCTCCTGCTCCTCTTTGGGGGAGGTCCTGTCTCTCTCCTGCACCTCTCTGGGGAAGGTCCTGTCTCTCTCTCTCCTGCACCTCTCTGGGGGAGGTCCTGTCTCTCTCCTCCTCCTCTCTGGGGGAGGTCCTGTCTCTCTCCTGCACCTCTCTGGGGAAGGTCCTGTCTCTCTCTCTCCTGCTCCTCTTTGGGGGAGGTCCTGTCTCTCTCCTGCTCCTCTCTGGGGGAGGTCCTCTCTCTCTCTCCTCCTCCTCTCTGGGGGAGGTCCTGTCTCTCTCTCTCCTCCTCTCTGGGGGAGGTCCTGTCTCTCTCTCTCCTCCTCTCTGGGGAAGGTCCTGTCTCTCTCTCTCCTGCACCTCTCTGGGGGAGGTCCTGTCTCTCTCCTCCTCTCTGGGGGAGGTCCGTCTCTCTCCTCCTCTCTGGGGGAGGTCCTGTCTCTCTCTCTCCTGCTCCTCTCTGGGGGAGGTCCTGTCTCTCTCCTCCTCCTCTCTGGGGGAGGTCCTGTCTCTCTCTCTCCTGCTCCTCTCTGGGGGAGGTCCTGTCTCTCTCTCTCCTGCTCCTCTCTGGGGGAGGTCCTGTCTCTCTCTCTCCTGCTCCTCTCTGGGGGAGGTCCTGTCTCTCTCTCTCCTGCTCCTCTCTGGGGGAGGTCCTGTCTCTCTCTCTCCTGCTCCTCTCTGGGGGAGGTCCTGTCTCTCTCTCTCCTGCTCCTCTCTGGGGGAGGTCCTGTCTCTGTCCTGCTCCTCTCTGGGGGAGGTCCTGTCTCTCTCCTCCTCCTCTCTGGGGGAGGTCCTGTCTCTCTCCTCCTCCTCTCTGGGGGAGGTCCTGTCTCTCTCTCTCCTCCTCCTCTCTGGGGGAGGTCCTGTCTCTCTCTCTCCTCCTCCTCTCTGGGGGAGGTCCTGTCTCTCTCTCTCTCCTGCTCCTCTCTGGGGGAGGTCCTGTCTCTCTCCTCCTCCTCTCTGGGGGAGGTCCTGTCTCTCTCTCTCCTCCTCCTCTCTGGGGGAGGTCCTGTCTCTCTCTCTCCTGCTCCTCTCTGGGGGAGGTCCTGTCTCTCTCTCTCCTGCTCCTCTCTGGGGGAGGTCCTGTCTCTCTCTCTCCTGCTCCTCTCTGGGGGAGGTCCTGTCTCTCTCTCTCCTCCTCCTCTCTGGGGGAGGTCCTGTCTCTCTCTCTCCTGCTCCTCTCTGGGGGAGGTCCTGTCTCTCTCTCTCCTGCTCCTCTCTGGGGGAGGTCCTGTCTCTGTCCTGCTCCTCTCTGGGGGAGGTCCTGTCTCTCTCCTCCTCCTCTCTGGGGGAGGTCCTGTCTCTGTCCTGCTCCTCTCTGGGGGAGGTCCTGTCTCTCTCTCTCCTCCTCCTCTCTGGGGGAGGTCCTGTCTCTCTCCTCCTCCTCTCTGGGGAAGGTCCTGTCTCTCTCTCTCTCCTGCACCTCTCTGGGGGAGGTCCTGTCTCTCTCCTCCTCCTCTCTGGGGGAGGTCCTGTCTCTCTCTCTCCTCCTCCTCTCTGGGGGAGGTCCTGTCTCTCTCTCTCCTCCTCCTCTCTGGGGGAGGTCCTGTCTCTCTCTCCTCCTCCTCTCTCTGTGGTGTTTATGTGAGTCTGAAGGTGCATCGTCAGGAAGAAAACTAAGAGAAAGAATTCTGCAGAAAGTGATGAAAAAAAAGTCAAGAATGGCTCATATTTGGCAAAATGCAGATTCTGACTGAAAACCTTAAACCTTAAAACTAGATTCTCCAACGGGACCAAGCAAAATGATCTTGTTTTAAAAGATACAGAAATTTCGTTTTTGAATGAGGAAATAAAGCAACAGTTCTTAAAATTAGACTTAATGAATTTGTCCCATCGGAGAATCTTCTTTTAAGGCGATAATTAAGATAAAATCCATCCATCCATTTTCTTCCCCTTAATCCATTTCTGGGTCAGGGGTGGCAGTCACAGCACCAGCCCCTCACTGATCCTCCTGCAGGTGCTGAGTCCACAGGAGCTGAGATCTTTCAGTGGGGGCTTCAGGCAAAGTGGGGTTAAGTGTCTTGGCCAAGGACACAACGACAGCAGACATCAGTGGGAGTCGGTGGAGAAGGTCTTGTGGAGGGCTTGAACCCACAACCTTCAAGTTCAAAGGCCAATGCTCTACCAACTGAGCCACTGTCGCCCCCGAAGTTAAGATAAAGACACTCGCTATGATCAATTACTAATATTTTATCATTTTTTGTAATGTGGTAAATGGTGCTTTTATAGTGTGTTGGTGTGTATGTGTACATGTGTGTGTTAACGTGTGTGTGTGTGTGTGTGTTCACAATTCAATTCAATTCACTTAATTCTTGTATTGCCCTAAATCCCAGCAGTAATTATCTCAGAGGACTTCGCCATTGAAATCGCCAACACAGATCAGAGAATCAGACAGTTCAAACACAGAGAGACCACATGGTATTGGACCACAGGGAGAGAACACATGGTATGGGACCATGGGGAGAGACCAAAGTCCATGAATGTTGTTAAATGTGTCCTGGATCATCGCCACAGTCCTTATGTCAGACAATTACTCAAAAGCTCTAAAACTAATGGTGTGTAGGTGTTCTGCCTCCTGAGGCTCTCTGGGAATATGACTTGGCTCGACACAAATACATCTGCCTTCAATTAAGACGCTTCATTCATGCAATGTTTGACTTATTTTATCTTTAAACCATCGTATTCCTCTTATTAAAACCTCTCTACAGTCTTGCATTCGTATTTTAACCAGACTTCCAGTGCATCCTGTGTCTCTGTTTTAAAATCTCGTAGATCAACAGAAAGGACAGACCAAACACAAAGGCACCATTATCAACATCTGCCTGAGTCTTCTCCAACACCAGAGATAGTGAGTGACACAAAAACACATTAAAACCCAAGATTCAGTCACAAGTCGAAGCGTTTTCTAACAGACACAGGAGCTACAAAAGTGCTAAAGTGCTAACGACTGGGTGACTTTGCGGTGGGTAAAGTTCTCCTCATCACAGACGGAGACGGACTGAGCTGCTTAATAACACAAATCAGTGACACCGCGAGACAATGGATCAGAAGAGAGCGGCAGAAGGAATTAACAGGGATTCACCAAAAGAAATAATTTGATTTATTGGAATCCTTTAAGCCTGGAGAGGGCACACAATCTGCTCATTATTAAACTTAATTTGCGCTCGCCTGAGTTTCTCTGTCTCGTTTCTTTTCACTTTGGGATAATCTCGGAGTCCCAACTGCAGTCTCTGTTTCAGGCGGAGAAAAGGCTGAAAGTAATGCCCTTTATACACATCACATCTGCATTAGAACGGGTTTGGACGGGTACAGAACGGTTCAGTTGTAGCTCAATGTTTCAAGATGGCAAAAAAACACATTGCACTTGGGTAAATGTTTATGAATTGGTTTGGGTTCCATAAAGATATAACATGACATTGGTTTGTTTTTGAAGCCCCGTCCATAAGTGAATAATAAGTTCCCTGGTCTCTCTTGTCTCTCTCTGGTCTCCCTATGGCTTTCTCTCTGGTGTCTCTCTGGTGTCTCTCTGGTGTCTCTCTGGTGTCTCTCTGGTGTCTCTCTGGTGTCTCTCTGGTGTCTCTCTGGTGTCTCTCTGGTGTCTCTCTGGTCTCTCTCTGGTGTCTCTCTGGTGTCTCTCTGGTGTCTCTCTGGTCTCTCTCTGGTGTCTCTCTGGTGTCTCTCTGGTCTCTCGGGTCTCTCTCGGGGTCTCTCTCGGGTCTCTCTCGGGTCCCTCTCTGGTCTCTCTCTGGTCTCGCTCTGGTCTCTCTCTGGTCTCTCTCTCTGGTCTCTCTCTCTGCTCTCTCTCTGGTCTCATCAGTCGTCGTGTGATAGATTGAACTTAAAACAGGTGAAAAGGACATTTTGATTGTTGAAGTCTTAGTTTTTGGTTCTATGAGAAAAATGCATGATTTTGGAAACAAGTCTGAAGTGTTGTCAAAGACTGTGATAACAGCATCTATTTCCATTTTTTCTTTTCCTCAAATAAATCAGGTTTATGTCAAACAGGTATAGCCACTTTCTGCCTCCATTCTGCTCTTGTTTACCGGCTGCAGACACTAGAGGAGGCGTGGCCTGTTCGCTCCTCGTTCTGTGATTGGAGGAGAGCGGGCGTCACGCTAAGTTTCTAAGCAGCACTTTTATACGGCCTGAATTCATACACAGCTGAATCAATGCTCAAGTTTTACATTAAATTACAGATTTTAATACAACTTGTATGTAGTAATAAGCATTTTTATGAACTCATTAGAAAATAAAATCGGGTATAGCTTCTGTAAACCAGTGGCGAACACTACGACAACATTATGACTGAAAATCGAGGTCAGTGGAGAAGCTTGATTGACATAAATTTGGCAATTGACATAAATTGGGGAATGACCCACCTCAAAGTCACTAAAGGAATAATACTCCTTTATATCTAACCAAGGAGAAAAGATCACATACGCTAATGATTATACAAAGGTTTTAGAGTCGATCATAAAACTGCACGACCCTCCTCCTCCCCGACCTCCACAAACGCAGAACCAGAAGCCTCCACAAACTATTGGTCCTACTCGGCTCTGATCGACCTGGTTTCTCTTTCGGTTTAGTATGAATACAAAAATAAACCCACAATAACCAATAAACATTTGAGTCTGAAAAACGGATCCTGTTTTGTGAGTGAGGAACATGTGACATGGATTTTGTTACAAAGTTCAATTGTGGTTTGAAAGATTAAAAACGCCAAAGAAAATAAACTAAAGGCTGAAATAAAAACACGGCAAAGCTAAATATGTTAAATACGATACTAGGATCAGGTCCATACACTTTTACTGTAATGTACACTAGCGTCACCACAGCAGACAGCGTGTT